GGGAATCAATGCGGCCCAACAGGCTTTCACTTCAAAGATCACATAAATTTGGATCCCGATAGAAGAACCAGACTTTCTAAACCTTCAAGTTTTAACTATGCTAATTGATATCCTCTGCGGTGCACAAACTTCCTTTTCTTTGGAATAAAAACTTAAAAGATTCATAAAATGTCTGATTTTTGGGTGCAGGTGGCGTGTTGTGAAATCAAACTCAGAACACACACGGTAAAAACGATTCCTGTTTTTTTTTTTCAGGAACTCCCTGGAAATCGCCTATGGGTAGTTCTTTCTCAAATCGCACGACCCCCGAAATCGATGTCTCGGATTCGGTCCAAACTCGGTGGACTCATTGCTTGGGTCACCAAAACCAAGTTTCTGACCCCGAAAAATTTTTTTTTGCTCTAAAAATATTTTTTTTTTAAAGTTTTAAAAAAATGGACCAAAAATCAAATTTTTGTCCAATTGACCCTACATTGTGCAAAGTTGTTTTTTCAACGTCTTTTGATCTTATTTCATCCTATTTTATCCTATCCCACTCAGAAATGATTTTTAACACCACTAAAAACCATGAAAAACGACAAAATTTTAACGTTTTCTTGATCCCCAAAAAAATGCATCCGAATTTTTTCATAAAAATTTTGTTTTTAAATTCTCTTTTGGTCCTCTAACATGTGTCAAAAAATTGGGAGAGTTAAATTTAAATTGCCTTTAAAAAAATTTTTTTTTCCACTTTTTCAAAGAAAATTTTCACTGAAATGACTAAATTTATCAAGTTTTCAGCAAGACTATTCAAGTCTCATGGCTCCTGGGTCCTCCTGGATGGGCAGTGATGTTGGAAATGTATTACTGAGTAGATAGTAGCTTCAAGATGTTTATTTTTAATTATTTTAGATGGTTGACAGGCAAACCCGGGAAGTTGCCCTAGACTCCGGCCCGGGCCCCGATCCGACCCCGACCGGTCCCGACTTTGGGCCCCCACCCGGCCCAGACCCGGCAAAGACCCCGGCCCAGACCCGGCCCAGACCCGGCAAAGACCCCGGGCCCAGACCCGTCAAAGACCCGGCCGACACCCGGTCGCCCCATAGGAATCCCGGCAAAGCCTTGGCTAAGCCCCGGCAGAGTCCGACCGAGTCCGGCCAAGTCCGGCCACGGTGTAAGAGAGCACCACCCGAAGAGTGGTCAACCTACACTATGTGCCCGGCGGAACCCGCCCCAGTCCGGACTTACGGTGTGGGGAGACCACTCTTCGGGTGGTGCTCTCTTACACCGTGGCCGGACTTGGCCGGACTCGGTCGGACTCTGCCGGGGCTTAGCCAAGGCTTTGCCGGATTCCTATGGGGCGACCGGGTGTCGGCCGGGTCTTTGACGGGTCTCGGCCGGGTCTTTGCCGGGTCTGGGCCGGGTCTCGGCCGGGTCTTTGCCGGGTCTGGGCCGGGTCGGGGCCAAGTCGGGACCGGGTCGGGGTCGGATCGGGGCCCATGGGCCGGAGTCTAGGGCAACTTACCGGTATTGCCTGTCAACCATCTAAAACTAGGGGTACGCGCCGTTTTGTTTGGGCGCGTAGTAGGCGAGCGATGCGTCTGTATTCTTGTAGAAGATGGTGAAGAATATATGCAAAGTAAGGCCAATACAGGGTCAATGTGAAACTCAATTTTAAAAGTTTGGTCACAAATTGGTAAATTTTGGGGAAAGTAAAGGTCTGGGATGAAATTGGAAGTCATTTTCGTGATCAGCACACCAAAAACTGCAGGAAACTATGTAAAACTCGATGTAAAAATTTTGGTCCGAAATTGGTAAATATTTGGAAAAGTAAAGGTCTGAGATGAAATTGGAAGTCATTTTCGTGATCAGCACACCAAAAACTGCAGGAAACTATGTAAAACTCGATGTAAAAATTTTGGTCCGAAATTGGTAAATATTTGGAAAAGTAAAGGTCTGAGATGAAATTCGAAGTCATTTTCGTGATCAGCGCACCAAAAACTGCAGGAAACTATGTAAAACTCGATGTAAAAATTTTGGTCCGAAATTGGTAAATATTTGGAAAAGTAAAGGTCTGAGACGAAATTGGAAGTCATTTTCGAGATCAGCACACCAAAAACTGCAGGAAACTATGTAAAGCTCGATGTAAAAATTTTGGTCCGAAATTGGTAAATATTTGGAAAAGTAAAGGTCTGAGATGAAATTGGAAGTCATTTTCGTGATCAGCACACCAAAAACTGCAGGAAACTATGTAAAACTCGATGTAAAAATTTTGGTCCAAAATTGGTAAATATTTGGAAAAGTAAAGGTCTGGGATGACATTGGAAGTCATTTTTGTGATCAGCACACCAAATACTGCAGAAACACCAAGGAAATTTTGGTCGCAAATCATGTAATTCTAGTTGAAAGTATGGGTCTTCAGTTGTTAGGTTTCTTAAGAGCGTTTCCTGTTCATAGTGTCATGCCACGAACCCTGACCCTGTTACTCAGTCGGGGTAACATTTAACAGCCAGCATTGAATTGCTTAATACGATTCACAAATACTTCAATTACCATTCGATATCTCCTTGTTACTGAACTTATGAATACGCAATGTTATTAGTAATACCTAAATAGCCTTTCTCCCTTTTAGTTTAAACTAGTGGATTTAACTATATTGATTTATCTGCTTTAAATTTAAAAAAGAGACATATTTACAGGCAGGCTGATTTCAACTACTTTACGGAGAAGACCTTCTGTCAGATCCAATGAATCGTGTCATAGAATCCAATGTCGAGGCCACTTATTGCTAAATGCAAGTTTATCTTATTGATAGTGATAGTCATGGTGTGTTATTTAATCTTTGAAACAGTTTAGCAAAAGTATTTACCTAACATTCTGAGTAAATAAAAAAAAAAAAAGCAAACTCAAACCATGACCAACACAAATTACCAGTTGTCGCAGACAATGTATGATTAAGTTAAAAGAATCGTCTCATGAAATCATATGACCAAGTCAGTGAATCGTCTCATGAAATCATATGACCAAGTCAGTGAATCGTCTCATTGAATCTGATGTCAATGTCAAACCTTGAATGCGCTACACTCGCTCATCATATGGTTTTCTTTAAGGTTAGTACTATAGTAAACTCACAGCATTGCAATGAAGCCTTTTCCCAGAATCAGTGCCAAGAGTCAGCAAAGACTATTTATTTTGGCAAGATTAGCATCTGGTTTGTACTCATAGAATGTATTAATATATTTTCTAACTGTTATTGAGCAAAGCAAACAACTGAAAAATATAGTGTCTGAGAATATAAATGGAAATACACTCACAAAGGTTAAAAAGACCAAATAATTCTTGCAATTATCAAACACACTCCACTGACTAAAACATTTCCCCTGTAGTGGGGGAGGGGAAAGGGTGGACGGACGGACGAAACGCGTAATAATTGTCACTTTCATTTTCCGTATTTCACTGAGTTGACTCTCCGGAGGGGTTTCAATCATTCTAAAATATCGAAAAACTATGACCGTACTCACTTCTAAGCCCTTCTGCTCTTTAGTTTGTTTTATTTGCCAATGTTTTGACAGGTCCCGTATTTAAGAGTCGCGGCCGCAAGTATGAAAAATTGCTACGAGCTGCCAAGCACTGCCAACCTAACCACGCTAAGAACCTAATTCAAAAAGATGTTTTGAATATTTCAAACAATAGTAATCGTGAATATAAGATAAACTCCCCCTGGGGGAGATTTAGGAGCCTTCCGGTGCGAAATTTTGAAACTATTTGTGCGGTAGTTGCTGAGAAACGTGAGTGAGTTACGGACACACAGACAGACAGACGCACGACCAGTCACTTTTTGGTACTACCACTTGCAAAAGAAAGCGACCTCCCGGCCGGGCCCGGCGCTACCCCGCACTCAGGTAGCTGCTGGAGATCCCATAGCCGCCTGGACGCGGGGTAGTGCCGGGTGCGGCCGGGAGGTCGCTTTCTTTTGCAAGTGGTAGTACCCCCAAACACGGCATGGGCTCGCTATCGCTCGCCAATAATTAAAAATAAACATCTTGAAGCTACTATCTACTCAGTAATACATTTCCAACATCCCTGCCCATCCAGGAGGACCCAGGAGCCATGAGACTTGAATAGTCTTGCTGAAAACTTGATAAATTGAGTCTTTTCAGTGAAAATTTTCTTTGAAAAAAGGGGAAAAAAAATTTTTTTAAAGGCAAATCAATTTAACTCTCCCAATTTTTTGACACATGTTAGAGGACCAAAAGATAAATTTAAAAACAAATTTTCATGAAAAAATTCGGATGCTTTTTTGGGGGTATTCAAGAAAACGTTAAAATTTTGTCGTTTTTCGGGTTATTAGTGGGTTTTAAAAAATAATTTCGGGTGGGATAGGATAAAATAGGATAAAATAAGATAAAAAGACTTTTGAAAAAACAATTTTGGCACAATGTAGGGTCAATTGGACGAAAATTCGTTTTTTGTCCATTTTTTAACATTTTAAAGGGGAAAAAAAAATATTTTTAGAGAAAAAAAAAATTTTTCGGGGTCAGAAACTTGGTTTTGGTGACCCAAGCAATGAGTCCACCAAGTTTGGTCCGAATCCGAGACATCGATTTCGGGGGTCGTGCGATTTGAGAAAGAACTACCCCTATGTCTCTAACATTGGCTTCCTGGGTAAAGCAGGTACCGTTTTTACCGTGCACGTTTTCATCATTTTAACAACAGAATGTTATCACTTATAATTTTTTTTATTGACAAATATAATCCATTCTCTTCCACATGTACAGTACTATGACTAGCTATGTCGAAATGTCAGCTTCGCTATGCACGAATGAATATGAGGTGGGTAACGATTTCTTTACGGGCTAGGAACGTGTGAATTACGTTCATCACGTAATCCATGTACTTCTGAGAGTCGTCGTCGGGTACACGTCACAGTGGGGGCAGACGACCGTGGTGGAAGCGGTCACAATTAAAGACGCGTCTTGAGCTTCAGGTTTCGCTAAACAGGACTCGAACCGAGCGTGAGGAGACCCCACCAATGGATTGCTCGTTCGAAGAGCATTTCATTGGTGCTCGTTCACACGTTCGGTTCGAGTTCCATTAAGCGACTCCGGAGCTCAAAACGCGTCCGGTCTCCTTGCCCACTGTACGCCGTTAACGTGTTCACGGCGCGAAGAGGTCGCTGACGGGCACCGCGTTGATGAGGTTCTTGATGACGGCCTCCACCACCTCGCGCGCTGCCTCCACCATGCTGGGGCCCAGCTCCCTCAGGACGTCGCGCCAGTTGTCGTTCAGGAACTTGTTCAGTTGGTCTCCTGCAAATGAGATGGGGATTGAGGCAAATGCCGGCCAAGCGCGGATACTGCAGAGGGAAGGGGTTCTTGCCCCCTCCCTTTTTGACAACTAATGGTAGCGGCGGCTGAATTCCCGAACGCGTTTTGAGCTCCAGAGTCGCTAAATGGGACTCGAACCGAACGTCCACCAATGGATTGCTCTCTGAACGAGGAATCCATTGGTGGGGTCAAACGTTCGGTTCGAGTCCTGTTTAGCGAGTCTGGAGCTCAAAACGCGTC